TTTTTTCTGCCCAGATTACATTCAGAGTAATACAATACAGTAAAATCTTGTTACAACAAATACCATTACAACCAACTTAGCAGTACAACAAACTTTTCTATGAGTCCCAGCAAACAGCCAAGGGAATGCATGTAAAAACAATCTCAATAATATACCATGAACTTTTCAAATCAAGTATGAAAAATGTTTTAAGGAATGTTTGATATGTATTAGATTCACCAGCCAGACATTTCCAGCAGGCACATAATATTTCTGTTTTCAAATTTGACTGATTGGGTCATATTGCATGGATGGGAGGTGCATTTTCTGAATATTTTTAGCATTTCCTGAATTTTTGGAACTGAAAATAAATTTAATCATTAATTTTCAAAATGACATGGTCAGACATTCTAACTAACTACTCTCCCTAACTAATTTTTTCTCGAGTGTCCCTACAAAGATGTTATGATAAGATTTTATTGCATTCATAATACCATAATCACTCAAAGTCTTCCATCACCTACTCAAACCAATATTGCTGGAATTTATTATGCTGGCCATTATTCTGGGATATTCATCTGTCCAGGGAAGAATTGGAAGATCAATGAAAAATTAACACCGTGGCATTCTTTTGAATGGACACAATTTACTAATTGGGCAGATCCACGTGAAGTCTTCCTACAATGATCTTGTCTATAACAACTTTCTCTGAATAAAAGGCTTGTCCTAGGTAACATAGGGATCTTAATACTGTGCTCATGTCAAAGGAATTTTCCTCACTGAAACTGTTCTCCACAATAAATGTGTCCTTGCATATCCCTTACATTTTGTTGTAGACAGAGTCCATCTGTACACAATTGCCTTCAAGGTTGGCAGAGTGCTGCAAATCTTTCATCTAGAAGTTTGACAAGGCCCAGAAACTCATCAAATTTTTTTTGTAGTTTGATCATCTTTTCAACTGAAGATAGGTTCCCTTGCTCAAAACCATATCTGTGAAAAAAATTTTTTTGGGTCACTCCAAGTTTGAATTATAGACTGGCTCTAAAATGCCAATAGATTTGAATATATTTTACAACAAAGTGTTATTGGTGGAAATTATATAATAATTCCCCAATATATATTACAAGAATATTTGCTGTTGAGCAAATATAGATACTTGGTGTTATTCATAACACCAGGAAGAGATAATATATTAATATATAAAATATTAATATTCTTCCATCCCTGTCCTTCCCAGTACACATGGACTGACAGACAGAAACTGACAGACACGTGCACGGACCCTTGACAACAAGCGGACCCCTGACAACAGGCACATAGAAACCCCAGCGCATGGCAACCCCCTAACTGCGCAGAAATCATCAGCGCATGTTGATCATTAAATGATACCTGCACATGCGCATGTCCTACTCCCCTTCTGTGTGTACCCTCCAATCCTGCGGTATATAAACCCCTGGCAGGAATAAGGAAGATAGGCATTTTAGCTCAGGAGACAGTACAGTTCAAAAGTAATCAGATCCCTGTGTCTTGTGGTTGATTGTTTATACTGCGCTATTGAATAAAAGACTATTTTTGTCTGGTACAGACTTTAGTGATTAATCATTTCCAAACCTTGCTTAAAAGGAGATGCACGTTACTCTCTATGTTTCCAGGGATAACAAAAGCCTTTTGGCACTGCATTGACGATGCAATGGTTGTCAGAAAATGGTTGGAAAATTTGCTTTGAAAATTATGAAGAAATTGCAATCACATTATTTTGGCTATTATAGGAATACAACCCTTGTAATATAATGATTCCAGAAACTGATTTTCCTCTTTATTCTTGTCTTCTCCTTTATTTGGGTTGAAATCTCTTCTACAAGGTTTTCAGTTCCTTGCAGCTGTTCCCTCTTGGTTTGGTTCCCCTCCCTCACATCAGCCTGCATTAATGCATGATGCCAGTTTATGTTCATTTCCTCAATAGAATTGGCTATTTGTTGACTGTGACATACAACCCTCCTCTTTCTGAAGAACTTGCCAATTTAGGAAGAACCCTCTTGTCGAATGTACAAGTGTATTTATTAAATGCATTTTGTATTCATATATGCCTGGATGTATATATATTCATTAGTGTTCAAGGAACACGCAGGTCCTCAATCTAGGCAAATATCTTTCCCATATACTTTGTATTGCCAGAAGGTATATATATATATATCTTCTTTGCTGTATATTTTCTCAGAATTAATCTAGAGTTGTTCGAGGTTATTTCTCAGAGAGACTTGCATAACAATTTAGCAAGACTCTCTTTGCATCTCCATATCTTTATATTTTGTGTGATTGTAAAACTGAATATTTGTGACTTGAAAATATATTGAAGATATATTTTTCAAAACTCATATTTTTATTTACCTCAGTCTACGGACAACAGCTTTTTGTTTGAAAAAAAAGTTAAAGCTGTATTTCTTCAAAATGTTTTGTGTACTGTATATATGCTAAAATTTGGGACAACTTTTTCATTAAATAAATTGTTGAAGAGCTTTGTTAATATTCTACATCCATCTGCAGATATGCATGGACAAAATAACAAGGGAAATATGGACCAGTTTTTAACCTTTTTAATTTTCTGAGCTCTTGGGGATGAGACAAGCATTCCCAACAACTGAGCTAGAGCATTGCAGCAAAGTGGAAAAGAGATATACTGTAAATAATTACAAAGAACAATTAGCCAGTTTGTGTCTGGGAATATTTAACAAAGAGGGCACCTTAATTACATACCCCTAATTCTGTCTGGTTTATTGATCAACAAAAAAATCACAGTCCATGCAAACAAGGCAAAGCAAAAT